AGAGGTGGAGGAGAGGAGGGAGGACAAGAGGCGGAGGAGAGGAGGGAACAAGACGAGGGAACTGGGCCGTAAACCTTTGAGCGGAATGAAATGACATTGTTAGCTTACATAACGTGGAGCGACCCCAGACCTGGAACGGTGACAGACATCAGACCAGAGTGAACACTAATAGGTGACTATCTACGAGAAGAAAGAGAAACCTGACCTCAATAAAGTGAGACAGCGGTGTGACAAGACAAAGGAAAGGGAACAACAGAAATGGCAGCAAGCAAAGTAAACAAAGAAGGCCTTCGTTTTTTATTAAATGTAAACAATGAGAGGCTCTGGAGATCAACTTGATCCTGTAATTACTGCAGAGATGTGATGTGTGTCAGAGCCGTCGATGAGCCCGGTGAAAATGGCTTTATTTAAGGAAACAGCAGGACGTGTGACCCAACCATAGACTGCATGTAAGGAGTGGACGTAGTAACCGCCACATCACCCTTTGGTTTATGGACTGCCGCTTTGAAGACGCAAGTTCTGCATTTTGGAAGTCACCATTTGGGTTTTTGCAACCAGAAGTGACATAAGAGGGAGGAGCTTAGTACAACCCAACGCTGAATAAGACATTTTTAGTCGACTTAAATGTTACAATTGACTTTCATGAAGTGACAATCTACTGTGAAAGGGTTAAAGTTGTAAGACGAAAACACAGACGACTCCCAGACCAGACAACGGCGTGGTTGTGACCTGTCAATCACAAGGTAGCCCCGCCCTAAAGCAGCCCCTGCTTTATGGTCTGTTTGACTCTAAATGGACCATAATGTACTAAATGAACATCATGCTGTATTGAAGAAGACTTGAAACTAGAGATTGAGACCATAAACTCATGTTTACTGAGGTAATAAATCCAGAGAGAAGTAGTCATTTTCTCATAGACTTCTATACAACCAGAGGAGTCGCCCCCTGGTGGTCATTAGAGAGGATGCAGGTTTTAAGACACTTCTGCATTGGCCTCACTTTTCAGAAGCAGAGATGCACCCATCCTCATCACTGTCACACTCTCTCCTGTGTGACTCTTCTTCACGATGCCCTTTCTTTCTCTTAATAACACTGCTTGAGATGTGTTTGGGAGGCCTGAGACTCAAATGAGAACAAAAGATTTGCTCATCCATTTTCTACGTCTGATTCAAATAATTATCTATCCTATGTTTATGACTCAAGAGCAGGTGAAAAAAAGTTTCCTTTAAATTATTTCTTTCATTTGTTAACAGTGGGAGAAAACATTTTTGCTCGTAAAAAAATGTTCCTGGCAAAACTTTTGTTCCATCTATTTCACAGATGAAAAAAAGAGAAATGAAGGAACTTGGAAATCCTGCCAACTCCGTTTTTAACTGTTCTTGAGCCATAAACACAGAAGAGAAAACTATTTAGATTAGACGTAAACAGTTCTTAATTTCCTCTTCCGTATCTCTTCCACTTTTCTATTTCCTTCATCCCGTTATTAGGAACAGATTCGGCCACCGTTTATATCTTGATAGAGATGTTATTACAGCAGACTGAAACTTCCATTATTCATTCTTTCTCGTCATTGTTCACAACGTTGACCTCGTGACTTTCCCAACCCTTTGACCAGCAAATTCTAGCAAAGAAATGTGAAGACCACTAAAACACCAGAGCAATGGGACCGGAGGGAATCACAGATATTACTGTGCTTGTACTATCAGGCAACAAGCAGAGGCAAAAGCAATCGCTCACCTCCCTAGGGAGGGACATCCATTATTGACGGGGCTTGTGATTGGAAGCATCAATCAAATGAGTACATGCTGGCACAGTGGAGGTCAAGAATGATGTCAATAGTAACTCCCCAACTGCAGTCATGACAATATATTTCAGCATCCACACATCTGAAAGTGGCTTTGCGTTTGGTTCTGAACGAACCTTCAGACCTCCGTTTCATCTCAACCTGCTGCGTTTGCAGAGCTGCTGAGGCTCCAGTATGCCGCGGGGTTCCCTCGTATAATATATGGCTCAGAGAACAATGAGCGTCTGGGTGCAGCCAGCCAGTTCAATTAAAGGTTACAGCTCATTCAGGGCTGGCCAGACTCTCCTGAAGAGCTACACCTCAACTCAAGTATTTTCTTCTTCTTTCTTTCTTATCAATACGGTAAAATATGCTGCAGACTCTACTCTTCCATTTAAAAAAAAGATCTTTAAACTGTCTCATACATTGATGATTTTAGAAATGTAGGTTAAAGAAAGTCATGTCTGACATTTTTAAACTGGTATTTCATCATTTGCAAGACATATGCATATACTTAAGAATGTGTTTGCTTCTTTGTGGGAGAATCCACACTGGTCCTTTCACACTTAAAGTTCATGAAGGTTGTTTCCTCACCGGTGAAGCTACATAAGAGAGAAGCAACTGAAAAGGATCATTGTGTTCCATAAGGTATATAAAGCAGATAAGCAGAGGTGAAAATGAATTTCTCATCAACTGACATTTCCATCCTTCATCAGGCCTTCATTTGGCTCCTCAAGTGGATTACGGGAATGACGGGGTCTGTCAGCCTTGACAGCAGCACTCTCTGTGAGGTGAAAGCTACACCCCGTCACTGCCCTTTGGTAGCACATCAAACACGCTGGGCGCTCTGAAGTGGTGGTGAAGTGGTAACAGAGTGGAGAGTGGACTGTGTGGGTTAATCTGAAGTGGGAGGCTCTGTTTAGCTGTCCAGTAAAGACTCTCTGGCAGCTCAGCTACTGTACGAGTGGCAGCAGTCTCTACAGTCTGCTGTGAAGTTGCTGAAACAAGACAAGAATCAACTGGAGAACTTTTGATACTAGAGAAAAAGTCAAAACGTGATTTTTATGGGGCAAGAAATTCGGTTACAGTGTAAACTTTTTATTCTTTCGTTCTGAATGG